CGTTGAGATATAGAATTCGGTGTGGAGATTTTGAATTCGGTGTGGAGATTTAGAATTCAGTGTGGAGATTTAGAATTCAGTGTGGAGATTTAGAATTCGGTGTGGAGATTTAGAATTTGGTGTGGAGATTTAGAATTCGGTGTGGAGATTTAGAATTCGGTGTGGAGATTTAGAATTCGGTATGGAGATTTAGAATTCGGTGTGCACCTGTAGGCCACTGCACTAATTTACCAGTCTCAACCAATCAAATGCTGGCAAAACTATTATAACTTGTAATTTGGTCAGTCATGGTTTTAAATGCACTTTCTTTAAGTTCTCAGTAGGTCCTTTTGTATAATTATTCCTTTGTACTGGACTTGGCCTTTTGGATTATTTTAGTTGCTTAGGGTTTTGTTTATTAAGGGGGACATGGAGGGTTCTGAATACTGCAACACTGCAAACAAAAGAGAACAAAATACTGCATCACTGCAAGAAATATCTTCAATACATGGACATTGTGATTAAATAAAAAAAATTCTCGGGATTTACCTGGTCTGGTTTCACTCATCTTTACCACATGCTGGTCTTTAGCTGGCTGATAGTGCGACTGATTGATAGACCCACTGACTAGAGGAGAAGCTGTCCATTTCTCACTCAATAGACTCAGTTTTTGACTTACTAATTGACTGACAGACGTCTGTGCCAATCAATTCAAAGCTTTAACATTCCCTCCCCTACCTGGGAGAACCCACTGTCATCTTTGTCAGGTGGATAGGAATTTGAACTTTGCATGGCTGGGCTGGGGAATTTGAACCAAAAATGGTAGTTATTTCTTGCAGAATACAAGTGTTGTCTTTAAATATGGAGGTGTTTAAAGGTAATTAGTTCACTTTTATGAGTGATTGTCTCAGAAGAAAACATCCCTTAGGTGATGGCTTTGAAGCTTGGTCAAGGTGTAGAAAGTGATGCTCACTGATATTTCTTTTTCTGAGAGGCATTTGAACATGCAAATTTAAACCAACCAATCTTGAAAACTCCAAATGCCTGGAGGGTTTCCTGGGGGGATGCTGAAGCTTTAAATTGATTGACACATGTAGCAACTCGCGTATTAACTTGTGGCTTTAATGACCAACTTGCTGAATGATACACACTCTAACATACTGGCTACAGACTTCCTGACCAGTAAATGTACTGAATGACTGATTCTCTAACATTGATAGACTTGCCAATATGTTCCCTGTCTCACTGACAGGTGAACTGACTACTTGACCAACCAAAAAAAAAATAGCTCACAAACTAATTGAATAACCCATGCAATGAATCATAGATGACTTGCTGACTGATTAAGTCTTTGGCTAACTAAATTAGTAACTAACTAATTGATTGCTTCATTGACTGAATTGCAGTCTCTAAATTTAGTGACAGTATAACTTGCTGATGAAATGACTTATTAATCACTACAGATGGCTGAGTGGCTGATGACTTCCCTATCAATATCTAATCATATAACTTTTCCACTTAACAAATGGTAAACACCACAGCGTACACTATTGAGTTATGGATGCACGCGGGAGGTTGCTAAGCATGAAAGAAGCGTAAGAGTTGCTTGAGGCGATAGCCGAGAGCGACTCTAGCTTCTTGAGTGCTTAGCAAACCTCCCAATTGGTTATGTTATAATGATTAACTTACTTTTCAACTGGATCTTTTGACTGTCCACATACAGACTAAAAATTGCCCATCTGCATTGTACCACCCAACAACAGACCAGCTGTCAAACTTTTTCTTTGCGCTGTGAACACGCGCAAAGAAAAACGCAGACACCGGAATCGCACCATCGTATAAACACTTACTATGCATCCATCGACAAGGTGCTGTCCGAGCTTGAGTTCAGGTTTAGTGGAAATGACCAGGAAATACTCTGTAATTTGGGAAATATCTATCAGATTGAAACACCAGATAAAGAAAGCTTCTCCCGAGTTGCTAAATTTTACAAAATCGACGGGAAGATTCTGGAAGCCGAGCAGAAAATTTACGCGAGTTTTTGTCGTGTACGTGGATTAGGCTACATGTCTGTTTCAGAAATATTGCATACATTGCACGAGAATGGTCTATTTGATATGTTCCCAGAGTTTTCTAGTGTGGTACATATCCTTGCAGTGATACCTGCTACATCATGTTCTGCAGAACGATCCTTCAGTGGGTTGCGCAGATTGAACACTTACTTCTGCAGCACCATGGGGCAACAACGTGTTAGTAACATCGCACTTATTAACACTGAAAGGGACTATGCCAACTCTGTAGTCGAGAAAGACATGGATCGTATCATTGACACATTTGGCCATCGAAATGGCAGAGACAGCCATTTCTTTTAACATGTTTTATATGTACGCCTATGTTAGTGTATGATATGACGTCTGTTTCGTAAAAGTTTGGGCAACTTGCGAGAATTTTTTGGGCAAATGGTTCCCCGTCCCCCCTGGCAAAAAATTGCCCGTACGCCTATGACGCCAGCGCGCAAACAATGGAGACCCTTTCAAAGTCAGGTGTCAATATCTAGCGAATAGAGGGAACAACATATTTTTAGAATGAAAACCACTTTTATTTCAAACTCGTGGAGAAAGCTACGGTGGCCCGTAGGGGACATGACACATTTTTTTATCGCGCGACAAATGATAGATTATCGCGCGATAAATGGAAATTATCGCGCGATAAATGAAAAATTATCGCGCGATAAATGGAGGTTATCGCGCGATAAATGGAAATTATCGCGCGATAATATTTATTATTGCGCGATAATTTTATTATCGCGCGATAATTTATCATTTATCACGTGATAAATGGAAACTTGTCAGGTCACGTAATCGGCTGTCATGCATGTTGTTTCGGTGGACGACAATGACTGCCACAGTTGAGGAGCTATGTTTTGAGGTCGATAGTTCGTTTTATTCATGTAAAAAGATCATTTAGCAGTACGTTGCAATACTACGACACATAGCTCTTTGAATCAGTATAGTAAACCTTGATTTTGCGAAGTCCGAGCCCGTGGAAATTTTGTATTATTTATTTATATTTTGTGATAACTTTTTGATGATTGCATGACTTACACTGTCACGGTTGTGTTACACTAAAACCTTGAAATAAACTTTCATCAGTTTTCTCATCTTTCAGTCTATACTACATGCCCTCTAAATTTCATTGTCTTTGCTCAAATATTCTGGAAGTTACGGAGGTGAAGGGGGCGGAATTCTCTTCACTCCGCGGTCTGAAAAGATTAAAAAAAAGCTCGGGCCAAATAAGGTCAAATTACTTCGTGCACACAAGTAGTTACACAATGCTCATAGGCTTTTAAAGTATCCTCTATTTCGCACAGAAATGTAAACACAGTAACTTTGACACATATGTCACCAGAACTGTCGGTCCTCTTTTTCCAGAAAGGCCTCGCACACAAAGAGAGGGTGGCATTAGGGACACATGAGGCTAGGTTTTCGGGTGTAATTCATTCCCCTTCAAAAAAAA